CCCCCCCGGATCAGTAACAGTCACAGTCGCAGAGCGTGTAGAAAACCCTGTAAAGCAGTAATAGTGCAAAATGGTAGCGGAGGAGTTGTATTTTTGTTTGGTGTTTGTTTGGGTCTTTGCAGAGGCCTCTAGCATCCCGGGCGCCTCAGATCTCATTCCAAGATATACATACAGTAAATAAAAGGGAAACAAAATAATACCCGAAACTTTTTTACAATCTCGCGGGGAGGAAAAATACATCAGACGTAGGATTCTTGCAGGCAAAAGTCGTTGTGCACAGTTTTAAAACGGGAGAGAACTAAATTCGTTTTAAAGTTTCTGTGGTTGAAAGTGCAGTTCCTATAGGGGAGGGAGAAGGGAGAGGGAGAAACGTCCCTGAGACAAACGCCTATTGCTGAGGATATACGAGGACACGGCTGCTCCTTTGGAGTCCAGTGTTTTACAGAGGGTCTATAAATTAAAAGAGAGAAATGCAAGCGGGAGAATTGGTATCACACGTGTGGAGACGGCCGGAGCCGAAGGGACTGCCCGGAGGGAAGCGTGGCCTTGCTTCCACACGTGTGTGTGCACAGGGCTGTGCGTGGGGAGGTGCGTGTTCGTGCGTGTGTGTCTGCCGGGGTCTGCAGGGAGCAGCTGCCCCTCGAGGGCAGCCCCGGGCTGATCTCTGTGCCCCTGCGGGGCCGCGTTTCAGGAAGACACCGAGCTGGGGGAGGCCTCAGGTGAGGTGCAGTTGGACTGATCCGAGGCTTCACTCGCTTCCTTCGCAGACCTGGAGGCAGCAGCCGGGGCGAGACCTTCCTTTTCCCTCTTCTTCTGCTTCATCCGCCTGTTCTGGAACCAGATCTTGACCTGGGTTTCGTTGAGCTCCAGAGTAGCGGCGATCTCCACCCTCCGGGCCCGGGTGAGGTACTTGTTGAAGTGAAACTCCTTCTCCAGCTCCGTCAGCTGCTTGGTGGTGAAGTTGGTGCGGATGGTGTTGGGCTGGCCCAGCAGTCCGTACTCCGACACTTTAGCTGTTAACGAGCAAACACCAACAGGGCAGGAGCAGCACGGGGGGGGGGCTGTGGGTGCGGGCTTTCCCCCCCGCTCCCCTCCTCTCCTGGGCAGTTGGTCCCTCCACCGCCCGGAGCTTCGCGCTCCCTCCCGGATCCTCAGCTACCCCCGATTTCCCAGCCCAGGGGTACAACCTGGAGGGACAGAGCACCCCGGGCTCTGCAGAGCTGCCCCCCTTCCCTTGCAACCCCCAGTTCCCTGCAGACTGCCCTGAAACTTGAACGTCCGTGGGAAGGAGTGGAAGGGGAGGGCGAGGGTGATGTTGGGGGGAGGAGGGAAGATTGTGATTTAAGGGAGATTGTGGAGAAGGAAGTTGAACAATAGGGGAGATGGAAGCCACGACCGTGGAAGAAGCCGAAAGCCCGGAGCGTTTCCTATTCCGAGCTGGGCTTAAACCGCTTTGGGCCTGTGGGAAACTGAGCTCAGGGACCCTCCATCAGACGTGTCTGGAAAATCTCTAGCTGGCTTTTCGTCAGCGCTGAGCTGGTGTTTAAAAAAAAAAACAAAAAAACAAAAAAACAAACCCACAACAAAAACCCAAAGCGCAACAAATCCGTGTTCCCCTGGAAGATGAGCCCAGTTACCTTGGGCGCAAACCCCGGGGACGGCAGCAGCGCTGGGGAGCCGCCCCCCGCCTCCCTCCTCCCCGGGATGGGGACCATCCTCGCCCAGCTCTGCGCTCCCCAAACTCACCTGTCTTGGGCGGGTTCCTCTTCACTTTCATCCAGTCGAAGGTCTGCGTGGCGCTGGCGTTGGGGCACGGCTCGGAGGGGCACGCAGGGTCTTTGTCCTCGTTTAGAGAAGGCGAGAGGTTGCTGTAAACGCCGGGCAAGTAGCTGGGCTGCTCCTGCCCGTAAAGGTGCTGTTGCTGGTACTGCCCAGCGGCCGCCACCGCCCCCCAGTCGCCCTCTGCCAAGGAGCTGAGGTTGGAC